GCGTTCTACACCAAATCACATCTGTAGCAGACAAATATCCCAGGCGAGACACTCGCATTGTCCTGGGAGACTTCAATGAGTATCCGGTTTGTGATCATGCTGGCTACGTGGTGTCTGTTTGCCTCATAGCTCTGGAGCTGATCCCATCAGCAAGAACAACCTCCTTCTCCAGGACTTTGGCCAAAGATTGTACACTTCTGGCTCCTGGTATTAGCTCACCAACCTGCATCGCTTGACACATCCTTCTTAGCACTTTGGAGGATCCTCCAAAACTAGAGGGTTTACCGCAGTGCTGAGTTCTGTGGTACCGACTTACTGTGTCTCTCCAGTGTCCACCCACTTGGACAGATTGAGGGAGAAGGAGTTAGCCCGCAAGTTCACCACAGCTCTCTCTGAGAGATTCATAGTATTAAAAAACCTGACGGACCCTGTAGCCCTGTGGGATTCCTTCAAGCATTTCAAGAGTCCATTAGCGGACGCCCAAGATCAAGGCAGAATTTCATCTTGCAGGAAACACTGGAACCATAGATGTCATGTCAGGCGCATCGACTGATTATCCACTACCTAGGACTCGAACACTACTGAGAAAGGACAAGGAACAATGCTCCAGGAATCTTGTTGAGGGAATTTTATTCTAAACCCTCCACACAGGATCATCTCAGATCACCTCACAGTGCATAATATAGGACTGCCATCTTAGGCTATGCAGGTATCTAGCTTGTTTCCCTGTGGATAACCCTGTCCATCAGGTTGTCTCTTTACGGGACTCATGGTGGAAGAGGCTCATGGAACGACCTAGGAAGTCGTGGCTTGGGCAGACCGCCAGACCTGTCGAAAGGAGCTAGATATGGGCCTGTCTGGAGGCTCGCTCTGAAAGATACTTGCGGCTAGAAGCGAAGGGAGGATGCGGCCATGTCCCCCCCCCCCGTCGGCGTTAGCTCCAGTTATTGATTATTATTATTATTATTATTATTATTATTATTATTGCTATTGTTATTATTATTACATTTACTGTTTTCATTGTTATCATTATTTTTATGATCATAATGATAATAATAATTATTACTACTTTGTTTATTGTTATCAATATAGTTATTATTATTTGTATTATCATTATGAATTATATTAACAATATTGTTATTATAAGTTATTATTATTGTCATCATCATCATTATTATTATCATAATCACCATCATTATTATCATTATTAGCAATTTTATTTTAGTAATTATCATTATCAATATCATTATTATTATCCTTATCTTTATCATTACCTTTATCTTTATCCTTATCCTAATTCTTACCCTTATCCTTATCATCATTATCATTTCCATTATCATTATTATTATTATTATTATTATTTTTATTATTATTATTATTGTTATTATAATTATTGTTTTTGTTTTTTGTTGTTTTGTTTTTGTTATTGTTATTGCTATTATGTTATTTCATTTTTATTATTATCATCATTACCATTATTGATATTAACAACCGATCATACCGATGCAATACCAATTATCACAGCAATAATAAAAAGATTTCTATCATTATGCATCGGTAATCCACAAGATAAAATATCACTATAATATTTAGTACAATAAAATACCAAGTCAGATTTACACAGACCAAGATTGAATTTATAAGCATGCAGCGTCGTATCATGTGTCATGCAAGCTTTAGTAAGTCATGCACAATCACGTTCCTGGGACAAAGTAGCACAGTCATGCGTCACAATACTACACGATACCATATCATACAGCACATATTCCCGATACATTGAAATAGCGTTCAGCCTTTATGGGTCAGACGCTGAACTCATCTTGCGGAAAATGGGTGAAAAGGGAAATGCTGGCGAGGGAACACGAATAATGGAGGATATATAGAGGAGAGAATGTGGAGAGAGTCTCTCTCTCTCTCTCTCTCTGTCTCTCTTTCTCTTTCTCTCTCTCTCTCTCTCTCTCTCTCTCTCTCTCTCTCTCTCTCTCTCTCTCTCTCTCTCTCTCTCTCTCTCTCTCTCTCTCTCTCTCTCTCTCTTCCTCTTTCTCTCTCTGTGTGTGTGTGTGTGTGTGTGTGTGAGAGAGAGAAAGAAAGAAAGAGAGAGAAGAAAGAGAGAGAGAGAGATAGATAGATAGATAGAGAGATAGAGAGAGAGAGATGGAGGGAGAGAGGGAGGAATTAAACAGCGATGCATAAAGGGAAAAGAAGCGAGAGTAAATGAGAAAGTCCTTCATAAAACACTGAACTATAACTTTATCGTCAATAGGATATATTGCGCCCTCCCTTTTCTATGCTCCTTAGCAAAGACCTTATTACTACTCTTTGCTCTGGGAACCACTCAGACTTTATCCAGAGGGGCACTATCTGTTAATACAAGTGTGTGGTTTCTCCAAAAGTACTCTTTAGAACCCACACTAAAATATGTATATTCATACAGGTTACTTATGATCTAATTTCAGCCTTAGAGATAACTGAGAGAAGGGGATAATATCAAACCACTTAATAAGTTTACACTTGTTGTTGATATATTGAGTTAAATATCATTACACATCTACAGTAAAATAAACTTTCATCTACAAAAATAAATGTCCCAAATGGTTGTATTCCAACCTGTCACTTTTATTCTTCTGGTTCTTCTCAGGTGTCTTCTTTCCTTGTCTTCATCAATGTCCTGGGCTCTTTCATTCTGGTTCACAGCCCCAGGGACGCATAAATCACAACTTCAGAAGAACCAAACAAACCATAAAAAAATAAAACAAAACAAAACAAAGAAACAAAAAAAAAAAACCCACTCCTAGAAAAGAAACAAAATTCTAGTTTAGGAATGATAAACAATATAAAGTTATTAAATGTAAGTAAATCAGTTCTTGTAAGATGAAAAACAATATTTCTTACAAACAAACAAATTATATATCTATGTTATTATATACGATCTGAGTAATATATTATCGTAACCTTGATTAAATATCATTATAATATTATACAATTATGAATGCCAAGAACACTTACTCTTTGAATGGGTTTTAAATTCTTATAAACAAGAGAGACACATCGGATGTTATTCAAGAGCCATGTGCCATGTGCCAGCCTCGAGCTGTGAAGAAGATATACTCTTTATCTCTATTTTACAGTTTAATCTCAAATAGTTACTTTCTTTTCTTCTGTAAATCAATTGTACAGTAGTTCATGACTTTATTAATTATATTATTATAGTGGAATGTTCTTTCTTACCTCAGATATTTCACGATAATCAAATACTCTTTCAGGCTGCTGTATGGCACTCCTCTCTGATCTCGATCTCTCTCTCTATGATTATAGCTATGTTTTCAGGATTTAGCACTGTATATACTTTGAATTTTAAAGTCTACTCAGATCACATATATTACACTTATACAGTCCTTCTTAATCTATACATGCATAATTTTCAGAACTTAAATGGATCCTTCCATTAACAAAAATAATATATATGGTTTTCTTTACAAAAATATCAATTATACAACCTTAATATAATAATACTATTGTAATATAATAGCGTACCCTTTAAATAAAGAGAATGTATGGTGGGGGTAACAAAAAAGCTTATACTTTGTAGGGTAGACTATCATATTTTACAATTTTCTTATCTTAGAAAAAATATAATATTGGAATATATAGAATTTCATGTAAAACTATTAAAATAAAATATCATCTTTCTAGAAAAATAATAAAGTACCTTTTTCTCAAATAATTAAAGCTAAAAAACTGAGGTATACTTAAATAATACATATGCATAAAGACTAAGTGAGGTGTATACAGGGGGGTTTCTAGACGAATTTTGGGTCATTCTAAATTCACATCCCTTGTGCTCGTTACACACCTTTGGGGTTAGGGGAGACCAAAATTCGTCGTACAAAAAAAATATAGGAACAAATTCATCACAATCAAGTATACTACCCTTATCATAAATCACATTTCAAGTTATCCGTCAATACCAATATAACAACACATATGTCTTGTTCACTCCTTTTCTGCTGTATTCAGAAATGTTACACATTCTGGTGCTCGAGGAGGTTAGACATGTCACTAGATTGTATACACCCGTTCCTTATAAATTTTGTATCGTTATGTCATACAATACTGGGTCACTCTACCAAAATACAGCCAGAGAATCTGAACTTTATACATTGACAGGCTCTAACTGTTGCAAGAAATCACATCAACTTCCCCAGCCCTATAGAGAATCAGAGTATGTACTAACTGTTTCCGACCTTGCACTTCTTGCATCATTGAGCATTAAATACTCTAGCTTAGTGCTCTACTGGGTCCACATTTAGCCATACACAACTGATTGGGGACCTTCAGGTAGATATTTATTCTTACAACTCCTTAACCTATATCCCTAGCAATTTGTTTTCGAGAATTCAAATAGATCTAAATATATAGTATAATATACAAGTCAATAATATAAGTCAGAATAACATTCATAAGAATGTCCTCGATCTTACTATATCCAGGTGTCCTCACGACCCATTCATAAGGAACAACAATCATTCTCAATCCTAACAGTTATTCTACTAACTCTAAGCTAGGATTCATCAAATTCACATCCTATCCTGGCCAAGGCATAGGCTTCATCAAAATCTTCATATTAAACCTCATAACAGGGTAGTACGACTAAAACTCAATTCTTCAGCTTAATCTTAAAGCACCAATATTAGCACCACATAAATCATTAAAAATTAATACCTCCTAACTTGTCTTTAAGCATTCCTGTAGATTCTATAGCTATTGTATCTATTACATCTACTACCATATTATACGACATAATCCTCAAATCTCTTGGGTGGTCGTCTAACTCTTACATCTGTAAGTATCCCTTTTGCTCTTCATCTGCATTAAGATACTTCTCTTCAATTTCCTCTATTTTACTCTTTTCCTTATCTCTGTCCTCTCTTAGTTCTGCCATAGCAATATACATTTTGTTTAGATTTATAGTTAATTCAGTCATTTCATTTTGCAAGGCATGCATTTCTACATCAGAATCTTTCTCACGTTCCTTCTTATCTACACTTGATTCATCTGCATGCAGATTCTCTGAACTCATTTTGAAAATCACAAAATAACTACAACTTCAAAAAAAAATGTAAACAGTATTATTCAATCTCTCTTCTCTCAGTACATTAGGCTGAAATCAATTTGATCATATCCCACACTCGCTGCCACCAATATATTGCGCCCTCCCTTTTCTATGCTCCTTAGCAAAGACCTTATTACTACTCTTTGCTCTGGGAACCACTCAGACTTTATCCAGAGGGGCACTATCTGTTATTACAAGTGTGTGGTTTCTCCAAAAGTACTCTTTAGAACCCACACTAAAATATATATATTCATACAGGTTACTTATGATCTAATTTCAGCCTTAGAGGTAACTGAGAGAAGGGGATAATATCAAACCACTTAATAAGTTTACACTTGTTGTTGATATATTGAGTTGAAGATCATTACACATTCTACAGTAAAATAAACTTTCATCTACAAAAATAAATGTCCCAAATGGTTGTATTCCAACCTGTCACTTTTATTCTTCTGGTTCTTCTCAGGTGTCTTCTTTCCTTGTCTTCATCAATGTCCTGGGCTCTTTCATTCTGGTTCACAGCCCCAGGGACGCATAAATCACAACTTCAGAAGAACCAAACAAACCATAAAAAAATAAAACAAAACAAAACAAAATAAAATAAACAAACAAAAAAAAAACCCACTCCTAGAAAAGAAACAAAATTCTAGTTTAGGAATGATAAACAATATAAAGTTATTAAATGTAAGTAAATCAGTTCTTGTAAGATGAAAAACAATATTTCTTACAAACAAACAAATTATATATCTATGTTATTATATACGATCTGAGTAATATATTATCGTAACCTTGATTAAATATCATTATAATATTATACAATTATGAATGCCAAGAACACTTACTCTTTGAATGGGTTTTAAATTCTTATAAACAAGAGAGACACATCGGATGTTATTCAAGAGCCATGTGCCATGTGCCAGCCTCGAGCTGTGAAGAAGATATACTCTTTATCTCTAATTTACAGTTTAATCTCAAATAGTTACTTTCTTTTCTTCTGTAAATCAATTGTACAGTAGTTCATGACTTTATTAATTATATTATTATAGTGGAATGTTCTTTCTTACCTCAGATATTTCACGATAATCAAATACTCTTTCAGGCTGCTGTATGGCACTCCTCTCTGATCTCGATCTCTCTCTCTATGATTATAGCTATGTTTTCAGGATTTAGCACTGTATATACTTTGAATTTTAAAGTCTACTCAGATCACATATATTACACTTATACAGTCCTTCTTAATCTATACATGCATAATTTTCAGAACTTAAATGGATCCTTCCATTAACAAAAAATAATATATATGGTTTTCTTTACAAAAATATCAATTATACAACCTTAATATAATAATACTATTGTAATATAATAGCGTACCCTTTAAATAAAGAGAATGTATGGTGGGGGTAACAAAAAAGCTTATACTTTGTAGGGTAGACTATCATATTTTACAATTTTCTTATCTTAGAAAAAATATAATATTGGAATATATATAATTTCATGTAAAACTATTAAAATAAAATATCATCTTTCTAGGAAAATAATAAAGTACCTTTTTCTCAAATAATTAAAGCTAAAAAACTGAGGTATACTTAAATAATACATATGCATAAAGACTAAGTGAGGTGTATACAGGGGGGTTTCTAGACGAATTTTGGGTCATTCTAAATTCACATCCCTTGTGCTCGTTACAAGGACAACATTTCTTCCATTTTTATTGTAAAATCTGTATTGCACTTAAACACGAAGAATAAAACTCGAAAGCAAGTGAAGCATTAATTAATTCGCAAATGAATGAAGCATTAATTAATTGATGAAAGAGAAGAAAATAAAGCTACTTTTTTCCACTCTTTCGGAGACTTCGCTAGAAAGTGAAATTCAAGCCAATGAAACATTTATTCATTTCGACGAAGCTTTACGGCGGATCTATTTGCATAAATTATTGTGACGAAGGTAGACAGATAGGTGGAAAGATAGCTTTACCTTCTTGAGACTTCCCGATAGACTTGCCGTTGCAGTATTTTCGATCGTGGTAATGCCCGCCCGCTCTTGCATGACTAGATGCCCTTCCTACATCAACCGAGACCCAGCAGGGGATCGTAACGAGCGCTCGACCACCGGACTCGGAGCTTCGGGCGGCACTAGAGTCCTTAGGCAACACTGCTACTTCCTCGTCCGCTTGTTGTTTAGTATTGGTTTGCATTTTACTTTTTCGAATCTACTTATTTTCAGTTGCTTGTACCCCCTTATACTTTAATGGGTACGAACTTATACTTTAATGGGGTACGTGCTTATACTTTCGTGGGTACGAACTTGTACTTTAATGGGGTACGTGCTTATACTTTAATAGGTACGAACTCATACTTTAATAGGTTCGAACTTATACTTTAACGGGC